AAACTGTTGAGTTCCCACAGCGACAAATCAAATACCAACAGACCATTGCGTAGGAATAGCCATAACCACGGATGAAGCCAAACACTTCTACAAGGTGTTCTGTATTAAGTAAGGCTAGCATTTCCTAAGAAACGGGTTGTTCTTTGTGTAACAACGGATGGAATTAACCCATTGATAAGGTATTCCGTCTGAACGCTGGGTATACGAGAGTGTAGTTCAGTAAGAGGTAAGTCAATGTATTTTTCTTTTATTGCTAGTGGGGTTGGACTAAGTCCCTCATACTATGGCCACTTCTGGCCTATTGTACCAGCCCCAGATGATAGGTGAGGGTGATTGTGGAGTAATTGGTGGAATGAAGTTTCGCAGGGGAAACCAAAGTACTCGGAGAAAACCTGCCCCAGCACCACTTTGTTCACCACAAATCCCACTTGAGGCATGGCGCGGCCCAGCTATATAAGTAAGTGACAGAATATGTTTGGGGCAGTTATGAGTTATGGATAGTAGCAGTGGCATAGGCGCACAAGCAAGCAAGCAAGCAAGCCAGTTCTCGGTAGGATATAGCCAATAAAGTTCATAGTTGAAGAAGAATTAGAATGTTGTATTTTAGCATCCTGTTGCACTGATTTTCATCCATGATATGTATGCAGTGGCCGTCTTGTAGTGCACAACTCCCATAGTGGAAGAACCATACGCGAGTTTGAATTAAGACACATAAGATGAATAATCTTAACAAGTTTTAGTATTTACAAATTTATTATAATTGACAAATATGTACTTTTTAAATAATTTTACAAAGACGTATAATGGCAAGCAATGCAATAGCTTAGCGTAAATAAAGCACCTGATGATGGCACTATGTTGCCGAAACATGTTGTGAAGTAACAGGTGAAATTGAGTGCACTACAAGATGGCCACCACATACATATCATGGAAGAATTAGAAGTCGGTCTGTGAACAATTTATTTATGTGTAATATTTGGAGTGTGTAATTGAGTGAGGCTGTTATGGTTCTTGTGTTAGAAATCTGTGAAGACTAGTTTAGATAAAAGGAAGATTTTAGTGTGGAGTGATTGCAAATTGTGTAAAGCAGCAATAGTGCAATAATTAATTTACTTACGATCTCGAGGTGGTTAACAGATCCAACTTGAACCCCATCTTTAGTCACTGTGACACATGAAAATATACTGAACACACAGTATGCTACACAAGAGAGTGAAATGTTCCACATTAGACTGTAACATGTCAATTTTTATAACACACCAATGTCGTGTACTACTCTGTACTATATTCAAAATGGTCCTAAACACTAGTAACAGAATCTCAACCAACTGCAGGGTTTACATTTCTAATCTACACCACAGTCAGCAAGATTAGGGGCTGCAGCAACTGCTCACTCTTCTAACCTAAGTGCCTTCCCTTCACTAACCACAATACACGTGTAACAGCACATTCAGAAGTAAACTGGACACTGAATATAAAAAGCAAGAAACAGCTGCATAAAAAGTAAAGCTATCTCTGTAACAGGCTATGGAGGCCCATAGGGTTGTGAGACATTAAGGCTACCACATTTTATATAAAATCAGGTCATGAATGGCAGTGAGGCTGGCAGTCTTCTACAAGAGACAGATACATAGCAGCAGAAGGACAACATTTTCAAATGCCATCACACTATGACCTCCAGTAAATGCTGATCTTGTGTGGAAGCCACACACTTTCCCAGTGTGTGCACAAACTAAAGGCAAATACCATGGTTTCCAAAGCTCCATAAAAAAGGCAGACTGCAGATACTTTAAATCTGCAGGTGGTAAGATTGCTATATAGTATATTATACTAACATACAATAAACTGTACCCAACTCTGCTTTGTAAAAAGTAAAAAGTAACAGGCCATGAAGGCCCATAGGGTTGTGAGACGTTAAGGGTCTCACATTATCTAGACAATCAGCTCAAAGATGGCAGTAAGGTTGTCAGCCTTACGCGCCGGCCGCGCAGCACTCCCCAGGAAAATTATTTAATTAACTCCTGGTTCTCATTTCTGTTAGAGGCTGAGGAAACCCCAGGGCCTAGTGCGGCCGGAAGGATTAGGTCAATTGAAAATAATCCAATGACCTCATCGCGACTTGAACCCGCGACCTTCTGGCTTGTTTGTACTGAACTATATTATATTAAGAGATATTGCTTTATGTTCTTCAATTCATGACAGTAATACCACAAAAGAAGTGTGCAAATATGCATCAGTGTGCTCCTCCCTGGCAGCCCTATTCCTTCATGTCATTCATGCATTTCCAAGCATTTCCTGGTTGCTACTTGATACTGATGCTTAAATGTCACTGAAACTCTGTTAACTGGATGAAAGTGTGATAATGTAATGTAATGTAATGTAATGCAATGCAATGCAACATGGAAGAGAAGTTAACTTGGTTTATTTACCTCCTCTGGTTGTGGAATTCTTGCATCCACAGACTGCACCATCTTGGAAGTGCCCTGCACACACACTTGTCCAGCATGGACTACTATCTGGCCTGCAATGCAAAATGGTGTTAACACATTGTTGTGATGTACACAGAATACAGCACAAGATTTATTTCTCTTTCATTAGTGACAAGGATTGAACCACAGGAAGTGCTGTTATTTCCTGACTGGCTGATGACCTGTTCTAATGAATGCCACCAACCAAGCCTACATGTAGCTCCCCCTAACACGAGTTACGCCTGAAAGCAGGAGTAGAGCTGTCATTTTCAAATATAATATTCAAATGGGAATCTCGTTTCATACCATGTCAGGCAAAGCAAGGCACTCAGAACAGTGACCACTGTCTGCTATTCACTAATCTTGTGTCATGAGACTGAAGACGAGACCAAACATATGCTGCTATACTAACTACCTGAAAGCCTCCCTCCCTTCACCACCCATATATGATGGGTCCTGTCATTCACATCCAGCTGGAGTAGGAGTTGTGGAGTTCTCTATGCACTGCCTACTTCCTTGTCGTACTGAGCTGGGGGTGGTTATATGAGATATAAAATTTATTAAGTTTAAAATGCATTGTAGAAATTACATTTCACCACTGTATCTACCGAACAAGGTCCACACATGCTGGGATAGAGGAATGAACCTGAGATGACACATACATGTGGTATAGGGGCTCCTCATAGTTGGTGCACAGCTGAAGAGCCAGATGATGCACAATCCTAGCTCACCCACAAACTCGACACAGATTTTCTTCACTGATACAGCTCACACTCTGCCAATATACTGTAACAATTATACAGAGCTTTACAAAATATAAATCTGAACATGCTGCACAGAGTGAAACAAAAGGAATAATGTCAAATATATTGTACAACACGTGTCCTGTGATTTTCAGTTTTCAAGATACACTTCACTGTCAAGTGGCACAAGCTACTGAATTATCAACCTATGGGCCACCCAGTAGTCACACAAGGTGTTCCAAGCAGTGCCTGGCATGGTGCCCTCTCCAATACATGTTGCCATCAACCACTGTTACAGCTGCTTGAAGTCTCTGTCCCGACAGGATCCCGCAACCAAGGAGGTCTCCATGTCCAGTGCACTGGAACACCTTTGTGCTAAAACATGACATCTGCCTTACAGCTAGGGGTACATCTTCATGTAGCAGATGGGGCACCACAACAATGTCCCCAACAATTATCCCATGCCTGAGGTGGACACTGAACAAACTTCCTTCATCTGTCCATAGAATGTTATGTGAAGTGAGCTCGTCTGCAGTGTGTCAAGTGTTGTGGCCATTTGCAGGAGTGCGTCCCTAGAGGGTGACTGTCTCTGGAAACAGATCAGCTCTACACAAGTAGTGGACCCTCAGTTGGGATGGTCCCAATTATTGTGTGATATCTACTGACTGCTGTTATGGCTGATGTCTGTACAGTCCATAGGTGAGTTACATTCAAGTGTTCTGTAGACGTGACACAGAGACGCTGCTTCCACCTTCGAAACACATTACGGCATAGTGCCAGCTGTATGATCTCCACCTGGATGATGAAATACACATTCCTGTGCAGCAGTACCAGCTCCACTGTTACATGCACTTTGGTTTAGGAGCATGTTGCAGCATTGCTCATGTGTGTCCTGAGTACTAGCAACAACACAGCTCAGAAGTATGTTACTGCATTTGACAGTGACATTCATCTCCAGAACTGACTAGCACAAACTCCCAGGAGTTCTGTGCGATAAGAGGGAAACGTTTGCAAAAACACTTTCAAGTTCCTATACTGTATATAAGGTCTTTGTAGGTTAGCACTGGACCAGAATTAACATATTTTGTCTTCCAAATACTACAATGAGAGGGATCATCTGAGAGCCAAGTTCACCTGCTTCCTGTATTGGCTGCTAAAGCAGAAACCATCATAACACACTCCAGGTCACTTCATAATGCCTTGCCATGCCAGGCCTCACATATCCCCCACCAGGTATGTGCCTGCGGAACAATATGACAGGGATATTGATAGCAACAGTTGCAATACACTTACAGTTTGTCTCGTGCAATAAGTCTGCTCACGCCTAGCCACAAACACTTCCTTCAGATATCTACTAATTTGTTGTACAGTACCAGGAGGATATAAACATGGATCCCAAAATGCCACTACTACTCCTACCAAGGTGAAAGCCCAAAAGTTTTCCTTTGGAAAGTGGTTGCTTCCTTTCCTGTCCTTCCTAACTCACCCCTTCTAACTTTCGCAAATAAACAACAGAACTGCTTTTATACTGTCTCCACATTTCTGATATCATCCTGTGATTTCTTCATTGTACGAGTACAAGGTGACTGAGTAGTTACATCAGATCACGATGCCATTCAACCATTCAGCCTTCAAGATTCTGCAGCAACCCACAAGTCAACTGAACAAGCACACATAATGAGCTTCATACCATTAGGGTCATTAAATCAAGGAACCAAGAGAAATCAGCAAAATTTTGAGAAACATCAAAGAGACTGTGGAAAAGACACACCTAGATGAGGGGGATAACATTAAGCTAGATTTTACTGAAACAGGGCATGAAAAGTTTGGAGTGGTTTGAACTGGTTCAGGACTCTCAGATAATGGCAAACATTCAGGTTGCACAGAAATGAAGATCCTGATTTAGTAAGGGTACAATGCGCATGTTAATATGTTCAACATAAGAATATCTGCTGCAAGGTCTAATTACCTGCGCTACACTACGCTACACTGCACTGCACTGCACTGCACTGCACTGCACTGATGCTCATGCAGTTCGGTCCTGTGCGCATACAGCAGCCCACTGCCTTATTCTTGCATATCTTCTGCAGCTGCAATTGTTTTGCACTGTTAACACTTTGACTTCCTTCAGACTTTATAGACCTAACTAATAAAATGTAAATGTACTCTATTTTCCACACATGAAACCCATCTACAAGTTGGTTGTACTGTATTTACAAACCACAGTTCTTATAAAGAGAGAGATGTACTTAAATGTGATGACAATAAATGACTGTTTAATACTGTGTTTTATTTATGGCAATATTTCACCACTATCCCTATCATCAGAGAATCCAGTCCTATTCAGAATGAAATCTCTTCCTCAAGCTGCATTCACACACACAAGACACATCTTTGCATAGAGCCTGAACAAAGGCTTAGGACACAACCACAAATTTACAACACAGCAAACTGCCTTCTCAAAACGTTTTCATTCACACGCGACATTTCTCCACAGCAGGAATCAACCAGAAAACCAACAAATCAACTTCTTCCACTTCTTGCAGGGAGCTTTTAGCACCCAATGTTAGATTGGTCTGGCAATTTCAAAAGTGAAACAAAACATATGAATGGAGAAATGTCATGAGCTTGTAAATCTATTTAAAATCGAACTTCAAAAATGAACACATGGATTTCTATGGTGTACTGAAAAGTTCCCAGACAAGGTCAAAAAAAGAAATGCTGGCTCAACTTACTCAATTTTGGTTGCCATCTCCTTCAGAAGTCTCCTTGGGAACGTATACAGTGATTCCATCATTTTTCCCACACTTCAAAAGCACCATGGCAGTCATTTTCCTTAATGCTGTGGAGTACCGCTTACAATTCCCTTTGTATTTCAGTCACTGCTTCAAAACAGTGTCCCTTCAGTTTCATTTTCAATTTGGGGAACAAAGAAAAATCACAGGGGCCTAGGTACGGCAAGTAGAGTGAATGGGGAACGATAACCATGTTAGTTTTGAGGTTTTCACGGCGATGACAATGAAGAAAGTCGTCTTCTGGGTTTAGGCACCGTGTATTCTTCGTTCCTCCGAAACGTCGGCCGAAACGAAGAATACACGGTGCCTAAACCCAGAAGACGACTTTCTTTGATAACCATGTTGTTGTTAGTCACAAACTCTGTGGTTTTCTGGGACGTTTGGGCAGGCATGCTGTTGTGATGAATGAGCAATGCGGTGCATGTTCAAAGGCCAGCTGTAAACTGTCACACATACCTACTTAATGAACAATCTGACTCCTCCCACCTCCCATATGTCATCATTGCATTATTGAGCTCCTCCACAACCCATGCTTAAAAATGATTCTGTTCCAAAACAATAACTGCTGATCTTACCAAATCCTGGATGCAAGAACAAAAGTCAGTGTCCACTGTGGAAACCATCCAGCTTCAAGCACACTACACACCTACAAGGGGAGAACTGTGGACATAACAGAGTACAGATTAAACAAATTAATTTAAGAATGTATTTCCAAAAGGCACAGACATGCCACATTAAACTAATAAAATATAAACTGCTTTTAGGAGGAAACAAGTTTATATGCTAAACTATGAGTATGGTCAGACACCATGTGCAAAACAGAGAACAGACTGTATAAGCAAGAACACTTCAGGTAAATGCCCAGTCTTTTGACTGTACTCAATGCAACGTATATGAAACACTTCAGTTAACCTCCAAAATATATGGTGTATTAGCTCACTGTAAGCATAGAAAACTTCTGTGCTGGAGGGCTGGGGTTCAAACACTCCTAAGCAGAGGAATTTTTATTATTCTGTTATAGTCCTTAAAAAAATATGAATTTTTCAAAATTCAGAATTATTATTGATGGATCATTGTGGGAGTTATAATATTTGATTAAAATTTGGGTTGCTGAAATATGGCTGTCCTGAGGAGGATCACATATTTTTAACATGCTCCAAGAGCGGACATTATGTGATTTGTGGGACATGAGAAGCAATAGCTCATTGGTAGAGAGCTTGCTTTGTATGCCATGGTTCCCAAGTTCAAGTCCGTATGACTTCAGTGAATTTTTTCCTCCCTAAAAGACATCACTGCAAAGGGTGTCTAGTAACATTTTCATTGTAGATGTTGGCAGAGTGTTGCAAGTTGTCGACAAATTGAGTCGAGTATATGGCTAAACCCTCGACTGGATGTTCATCATTTCATCCTCGTCCCATATATCGAGGATCGCAGTCGAAACATCTTATACGAGCTTTTGGCCGAGGATTTTGCTGTAGAGCCGCAGATGAAGTTATTTCTCCGAGGAATGGTAATGAAGAGCCAATCAGAATCAGGGGGCAGGGCCTAGTACAGCCTGTCCTTTTAGTGCTGAATGCAGTTTCTGTATAGAGCAGCTAGACAAGATCTACTAGGCCTCGCCCCCTTGAATCTCATTACCATTCCTCGGAGAGACGACATCATCTGCGACCAAGTTCTGCTCTTGAAGGTCGTTGAAGGTCGTTCCTAGAGAAAAGTAGGTCAGTCATAGAGAAAAGTAGGTCACTCAGAGAGAAAAGTAGGTCATTTGGAGGGAAAAAAGGGAAATTGGAGGGAAAAGGGGCCATTTGTTTACATTAGTTGCCTTATGTATGTGAAGTGCATTAAGCACTAAAATGACAGGATCTACTAGGCCACGCCCTCTTCATTCTGATTGGCTCCTCAAGGTCGTTCAAGGACATGCATAGAGAAAAGTAGGTCACCCCTAGAGAAAAGTAGGTCACACAGAGGGAAAAGTAGGTCATTCGGAGGGAAACTCGGTCATTTGTTTACATTAGCTGCTGTCTTCACAGAAAGTGCATTAAGTACTAAAATGACATGATATACCAGGCCCCGCCCCCTAATTCTGATTGGCTCTTCATTACCATTCCTTGGAGAAATGACTTCAACTATGGCTCTACAGTAAAATCCTCGGCCAAAAGCTCGTAGAAGATGCTTCGACTGTGATCCTCGATATATGGGACGAGGATGAAATGATGAACATCCAGTCGAGGGTTTAGCCATGTACTCGACTCAATTTCTCGACAACTTGCAATGCTCTGCCAACCTCTACAATGAAAACGTTACTAGACACCCTTCGCAGTGGTGTATTTTAGGGGAGAAAAAATTCATTGATTTCACAAGGAATTGAACTTGGGAACCATGGCACACAAAGCAAGCTCTCTACCAATGAGCTATTGCTTCTCATGTCCAGCCAATCATACAATATCCGCTCTTGGAGCATGTTAAAAATATGTGACCCTCCTCAGGGCAGCCATATTTCAGCAACCCTAATTTTAACCAAATATTATAACTCCCACAATGGTCCATCGATTATAATTCTAAATTTCGAAAATTTCACAATTTTTGTTAAGGAGTATAACAGAATAATAAAAATTCCAATAATTAGGTGCCGGTTTGAACACCAGCCCTCTGGCATATGAACCAAGCACTCTGCCACTGGGCTATTTCTTTTCATGCTAGGGTACTCAACTAATCTTCCTCATAAATGGTGGCTACATCATCACTACAAGCCTTCAGGTTTCAACACTATTCTAAATCTGCCCTGTGTTGTACCTTGGACACTACAGATTCTTCCCCAGAATTTAGCTCAGACTTTCTCTCTCTACATAACGGCACAGTTGGTCAGCCAACCAAGCATGGCTACCTGCTGTGACTCTGAACAAGCTGTCAGCTATACTCTTCCTCAGTGAACACTAGAAACATGGAATATTTTTGAGCTCCACTTCACACAAACCAATTACCTGGTCCTGTAGCCAGGTCCACTTGTGTGATCTGTTCCTCGAGATCAGGATTTCACTGTGCATAATTATTTTGAGGGGAGACTGGATTTGTAGATCTGATGAAGGAAGTAACATTTCTGGAAACACAGTGTTGATACAAACGTAAATAGACACACAGCAAGAGAGAACAGGGCTATATGGAGGGTGGGTTATACCAGAGACACAGACATCAAACTGTGAACAGCCTACAGTAGGACAGAATTTATTGAGACAGAATATAAATCTCACATCTTCCAGTAACAGTGCAGTATACATATTTCCCAAATGTGTTCTTTGCAAATCTGCTTTCTTCTACATTTCCCATTTTCATTCATTGCAGACATGCATTAATATCCTTCCTATCCATCACATGCTCAAATTTGTTAATTTCGGGTCGTTGGTCTGTTGTTTAGGGGTACATAATTTTTACAGTGTCTTTCAATAACTTTTCACCACAACAAAAACATTATTTATAAACACTGAGCTCTTCTGGGCTATGAGACCGTGTAGTTCTGCTGGTGGCTACCAGTGTTTCAGAGGAACATGCTGCAGGGCTAAATTACAAGTAACATGCAGGCAGCTGCCCTCTGGTTGCATGACACTGGACCCCAGAACCTGTATTTATATCAGTTCTATTATTCTGCTTACATGATGTGATGTAATCTTATGTCTGGTGCATTTTTAAGACTGAACATCAAAACAATGATGTAGCTGTGGCAGGGAAGGAAATGCAATGGAACACATCACCATAACCTGTTGCACCTGGAGCTCCGATCAGGCCAATAGCCAGTCCATGACATGTGATTCTACAGCTTCCTTCGTGTTCTGGATTCCGACTTGATATGTGCTGCCATCACTACCAACAGGAAGGAGATAACTGCACCTGAAACAGATTCAAAGCCTATTATTCTGTCTCTGTTCCAACTGATATCTTTAAGCAGCAAATTGGGGGCCACAAAGTTTACGCTGTTGCTATTTTTACATCCCAGGATTGTACAAAATTTCATGTAAATGTCCAAACAGTTCATCATCACATGCTGACAGATGGACAACATGCAGAGCCCAGTGATGGGACATCCTACCATGAACATTGTATAATTCCAGACAAAATTTAAATGTAAGTTTCCAATATATGTACTATCACCCATTGAAGAGGTGAGGCAAGTGGCTGTAGAATGGCTGAACTTGACAACTGCACTGCTCATTAGCTTAACAGTACCAATGGTAAGTGGCATCTGAAAAATCATGTCAATGTTTGCAACTTGCACAGTACTGTAACGTGTTTAGGCGATTGAAATGCAGGTTTGGATTGTTAATTGGTTTTATTAACAACCTACAGGTTATAACTACGACTGTAACACTGTTGCTGATTTACACAATTTACAATCACAATGCACTGATCTCTTCAGTCTGTCTGCAGTAGTCTTCATGGCTTTATAACATGGGAACTCCAACAGTCTCCCTAAATCACACACTCCCAATTCCACTGCACTATAGCACACACACAGTCTCCAAATAACATGCTAAACCCTCACATGCTGACCTGTTGTCTCTTGGTTCCAATTTGCTCTCAATTAATCTTCACAATTCATGCTCCATTCTTGTCCTTGTACTCTCAACTGCTGAACCACTTCATCACCATCACTTAAAAACTTAAGCTGCTTTTATTTGTAACTGTCATAATATAGCCTCTGCACTGACCATGCATAAAACAGCCCATATTGTTGTAGAGAAGTGTTTATCGCAACAATGCATAGCAGCAGTCACAGCGCTGACCATATAGAAAACACCGTACTCCTATTGTTGCCTTGTGTGTATTTGGTTGCGAGGAGTTTTAACGGTTACCTAGCAACGCTGTCCATCCACGTTACAGTACATTTTGGCAGGCCCAAGTAACTTTATTTTAAGGATAATACATATGAAGACATGACTGGTTGAAATACAGAGCTGTACTGTAACTCACAGTTTATCTGTTTACAGAGTGGAAACAAATAGAAATTGACTGTTTGGGAGACAAGACTACACAAATGTTTTCATAAGAAGTGTATATCAAAGGGTGGGAAATGTACATCTAGCAGTAAACAGCCGTATGTGTTGAGGTTTCTCTTCTTGTTCCATACATCTGCTGATGAGACAAATGGACTGACAGTACTGTGTGAAGCCACCCCTAACAGTTTCAGAGAGCTTGTATGGTCCTGGTATAACGGATAACTGTAGTTATAATATTTAAGCGTTAGTTGGACCAGTGACTGATCTGCAGGCCTTACACAGGCCCCAGCTCTATGCAGGGAAATGGTTCATTCAGATATCCACAATTTGAACTCACCCTTCATCACATGGCTTGACTGACACTTCAAAATGGCCCATCTTCTGCAGCACTTCTGAAGACAACCAGTTCACACACAGGCACCATTACGTTGCAGAACCTGGAACACCAATAGTTCCCTCAGAACACAATCAATACCAACAGCACTGCTTTAGGCTTGTATTCAGGAGATACTCAGTTCATAACTTGACTAACACAAACTATTCTGACCAAGGTTTTAGTGGTTTTCCTCAGTCTCTCCACACCATACCAGGATAGTACAGCAATTAGGTAATGACCACTTCCTTCCAAATCATTTCCAGTTCATCTATCATCATACCACGTGACAATGGAAGCACTCAAAAACAAACCACTAACAAAATACCAGTGCTTTGTGTTCTTCTTGGCTGAACAACCTGACTTGAGTCTTAGCCTCCTGTGCCAACTTTATCTGGACCTCCCTCCCCAACATCTCCAGACACCAGCTATTCACTTTCAGTACTTCTACTTTTGTATTTATATATCAAGAGGTCTATCTTCTGGGAAAAAACACTGCGCAGTATGCTGAAAATCAACCAACTTTTGTAGGAACATGTATAATCCTCATCTTTGGGGTCAAAGAATGAAGGGGGGAACAAGCGTGAAGCAGGTTGCAAGTTTCCTCTGAAATGTCAGGTTAATTTTCAGCATACTTCACACATTACATCCGAAAAGAGAGAACTCTTCGTAACCACCTATGAGAACCTCAAATCCTGCATAATCTTTAACCTTGTTCTGTGTGCCAAGTTGATATTCAGATTTATATCAATAATTCATAACAGCCTACACAACAACTGCTTTTATACAGTGAAATTATCAGCCTCACACACTACCCTCACTACACTGGACAGCCTAGATTTTTCTGTTGGGGGTTACTTCTATAGCAGAAGGGCCCAACATTTCAGCCA